TTGAATTTAATAATATTTTGATTGATTGAAGCAGAAGACATCAAGATGAATATTTTGAAAAAAACAATGTAATCGGTTGAGTAGTTTTTGAGAAATTCCAGAAAATATATTTAAATACAACCTTGAATATCTCCTAAACTAACCATCCGATTTACCCTATTTTCAATACAAAAGATTCTGGTGCAAAGAAGAAACTTCCTGCCAAATTTTAAGTTAATCTGTGGATTTTTAGAAAAGTCCTAGCAAGGACTTTGAGCGAAGAAACCAACAAATAGCTCGGCAACTTTATATGAACGGGTATTTATATTTTTGATAGAGATAGAAGATATCGAGACGAAGTTTTGAAAAAAATTAAATTGAAATCGGTTGAGTAGTTTTTGAGATATTAGTGAAAAACCATTTAGAAACAAATGGCGATTTCTCAAAAACGGTTGGATCGATTGGGCTGAAATTGAACACACGGTTAGTTCTCATTAATACCTATAATCTGACAAAATTTCATATTTTTCGGAATTATTTTTGTCCATTAATTCTTCAATTGGGTCCCGGTGGCTTGGGGCAGTGGGTAAGTTCGTTGCCTCACATGCGAAAGGTTCGGAGTTCAAATCCCGGCCGGGTAGAATGGTGCGATCTAATAATTTAAAGTCTTGATTATCATCGCAGTATAACCTAACCGGGTCGAAGCGATGTAAAATAACGATGAAAAAAAAAATTCTTCAATTTTCTAAAAGTTGACCACCAGGTGGACAACACACGGGAAGGTCAAACTTCGTATTTTTATATTTCAAACCATTCTACACCAGTTCCAACCTAAATTAGAGAATCTAAAAATAGAACGATTTCAATACTTTCATTCGGAAACAAAAATCAATAAAAATGCATAAATCATAGTAATATCTTGATATTTCACTGCAATGTCGGCAATTGAAAGAATAGATTTAATGGAAATGTCATTGATCCTATGTTTGTTTTGCAGCCAACTGTCAACTGGTAATGGACTAAATGAATGAAAAAATCATTTGAAAGGTTGGACTGTCCGATTAAAATATAATTTTGTGCCTCGAGATATTTTTTAATATTGTTTTATCCCAAATAGGATACTCACGATGTAATAGTTCGGTTTGTAATCTTTCCATAGCACTCAAATCATGAGACGAGGATAGGGGCGTTTGTCAAACGTGCATGGAGACAAATCAGCGAGCGTAGTGACAGGAACTTTCCACGTTTGTGGACGATCTTTTATTAAAAAATAGTAATAACGAATTGGTGAATTCTAATTCGGAAGTTTTTACTTTCTGATACCTAATTTAACCATCGCACCTTTACACTCATTTCAATGGAAATATTGGACTAATGTTGTGTTCACCCTAGTTATACGAGCGTAGGATCATTTACCTTGAAACTAAATATTAGAGACAATAGTTTCTTTGGGAAATATTGTGTTGGAAAGAACAACTTTTCTTTCTTTTTAGGGTATGCTCGAGTGAAGTGTGAAATGAAAAGTATTCATGTTGTGTGACAGTTTTATTACTGTCGTATTTGGTTTGTGAGAGTTTCTTGGGTGACTGTGTGTGACCTGGGACCCTATTCTCTAATTGAAATCGTATGTTCGAATCCGACAAGTCATATGCGATTCATAGTACGTCTTATGGGTCGCATGCGACCTGCCAAAATCGAACGCATGATTTCAACTCGAGAATAGACTCCCTGTGTGACGAACACTGAGGTAATTTTTTGGAACATTTTTTAAAAATTCGATTTTCACTCAAATATACGTTCATTTATCTCATTAAATAAATATCTTGTGTTTTTCTGATTATGACCCTACATTGATCTCTTGGTGGTGAAGATGGCCAAAGGAACGCAGGGTAAACTCCAATTCTAATTTCGATTTCTATCAATTTTGGGCTCAGAAAGCTTTGAGGAAGTTGGTTTAATAAGCGTCAGACATCATAAAATCACTACTATGAGGTTTTTGATTTTTCAGATTTTTTTCGGTTCTTTAAGTAGCTTGTTAGTACGCAAAAAATACAAAAAAGTTTTTTACCCGTGGAAATTCAGAGAACGACTATGATGATCTGCAGTTTTTAATTGAATCTTTTTCGTGATGATAGATATCTGAAAAGAATACCGCATTAAAATTTGCTGACGGACCTCATGCTTATCCGGCTAGACCCTTTAATTTCTTCATTTATTGTTCCTGTTCAACCCTCAAGACCTTTCGGCCCTTAATTTTTTTTACCTATATGATTCCATTCGATCTGTCTCATTGCCCCTCGTGAAATGAGTTCCCCGTTGCAACTCGTTCGCGATTCAAAAGGTCTCATTTCATCACCCGGTCTAATTTTGCTCACTTACCCTCAGACAACTGCGCAGGTAGATGAAATCGAAAATTTGAAATCATATGAAATCATGTGACAACATGAAATGGGGGAAAAATCCGATGAAATCACTTAAAATCAATTATTAAAAGAATTCTATTTCCATGAATGAATCGATCACCGTTGGAAATTACAATGAGATGGCCAATAAAACTTCGAAGAATCTTTGACAGCTTGATTTGCACAAGTCAACCATTAGGTTTGTTCCTGATAATTTCGAACAATCGACAGTTACACAGAGAAAGACAAGTTTTAGTTTTTCGGAATCTAATCCTAATTTTTAGGAATGCAAGAGAGTGACAGTATTTGCAATTTTCATCGCCGTAATTTAGGGATCAAATTCTCAAGATTCAGGATTAAAATATCATTGAATCTCTGTGAAAGATTCAGTGTGAAAAATAATAGAAAGATTCAGTAAAAAAAATAGTAAGTAAATTTTGTCCATAAAGAAACGATTCATCACAGTGTTTACAGATTTACATTCGACATTTATACTAGTTTTTAGATTGTGAATCATTTTCTTTCAACTCTTCTAGATTCTGTTTTTAAGGCCCGGCTCCACTATCTGCCGAACGTTATCTAAATAGATTTTTTTGTTCGGTTTTTATCTCGAAATTTTAACTCGATGCTCCGTCACTCAGAGACATCCGAAAATTCTAAATTTAAATTGATAAAAAAGTAAAAAAATTGTAATCATGTATAATTACAGTGGCAAATTCCGATCTATTAGTCGCCACCATGGGGAAGGAAAGACGAAATAATAAATCCTTTGGCACACCACAACAAGACGATTGTACGAAAAAAGATTTTTTGAAAAAATTTGTAATATTTTTAAGAATTTTTCGATCACACTTTTACGATAAATTACTAATCACTTGCGCCAATCTCCTCCATTCATAATTGTACTGGCAATCAGCTGTCACTTTTGTCGGGAATTGAAAACATAGGAAAATTGCTCTTTTTTTCCTTTTGTTGCGCCCCGTCGAAACTGACAGTTGATGGACAGTACAATTCTCCATTGAGGAGATTGGTGTAAGTAACTAGTAGTTCACCGTAAAAGGGTGATAAAAAAATTATTAAAAATATTACAAAATTTTACAAAGAGCTTCTTTTCGTACAATCGTTAGGTTGCGCTGTGCCAAAGGAATTATTATTTCGTCTTGACATGATAATTATACATTTTTCCTATCTCCTCTATGGTACTCGTTATTCAATATTAATTAAAAACGCTCTTTCAAAATTATCAGAATTTTTTTTACTTTTTTGTAATACCTGCCTCAAATGTTCACTTTTCGAAACCGTTTAGTGTGTGTAAAGTGGTTGTTTTCCGCACAATGTGCGTAAAGTTCAGAGGTCGTGCGTAAAGTGAATTTCGAGTGTGTAAAGCGAAGCCTTAACTTTACGCACACCGTGCACAAAAGCAACCACTTTACCTCCACTACGGTTCCGAACAGTGAACTCGGCAGGTATTACAAAAAATAGGATGTGTTCCGCGTGCGCGCGAAAAAGTGGTTCTTTATGCACTTGTAACACAATATACTATTTACTTATTCAAATTCATAATTTTCGGGGGTCTCTGAGTGACGGGGTACAGGAGACTCACTAGTTGCACGCCCGTTCGTGGCTCCTTTTGCCCCTAATCCCCTTTACGGACGCTCGCGCACTGCCCTCCGCTCTCAGCCGCCTTATCGCTTTCGTTTGTCCTCATTTATTTATTCATTGGGGAATGAATAATTTTATTGGAAAATGAAACTATTCATTGCCTCTCATTTTTCTGAGAACTTGGGTCTGCATTGGTTGAGGGGCGGGCGCCGGTGGATAGTTTCTTATTTCTTCCATGGAAATATTACTCCTACAGCCTTTGGATGAGCAACTAGCGAGAGTCTACTCAGTATCGAGCTCTACTGTATCGAGTTGAAATTTTGAGATAAAAATCGAAAAAAAGCAATCTAGATAACATTCGGCAGATAATGGAGCCGGGCCTTAAGTGATTAATTATCGAAGATCACAATCGCCGCATGAGTCCATGAATAAGTAATAACCTATTATTATTATTATCATTATTATTATTGTTGTTATTATTATTTTATCATTTTCAAATAAATACCTCAGTTCTAGGAACGACAGGTATGTACTTAGTACATGCGTACATACAGTAAGTTCTTGTGAAGAATTATTTAAAATGTAATGCTAGTATTCCTGAATATCAGCACTTATTCGTCTAACTTGAAAAATTATTATTACCAAAAATGAATAACAAAAGTACTGGATGTTAAGATTTTCTCACTCTTTAAGGATAAATTTGAAAAACCTGAAACTTTGTTTTCTCTGTGTAAGTAATTATTGAACATGAACTCTAAATAATCAGATATCTTGAATTGTAATAAATAAACATTGACACATAATTTAATTGACGAATACATAAACTAATTTTTTTCCACCTTTCAGCACACAGACGCATAACTACAAAAACGGAAAATAAAGGATTGCATTTTGGATTTGATTAAAGCCCACTAATTTCATACAAGCACAATTGAATAATTTTGATACATATTCATGTTTGACATTTTGATAACTTTTTTTCATGGGTAATTCATTTTATTCTAAATCCCAAAGTACCTGTCACTGGTATCGTTCCTTCGCCGCAAAAAAAGTCGAAATACCACAAGTTAGAGTAAAATAAAGAACATAATTTTATTTTCAACTTTCACATCTTCCTCAGATTTCATACTTGAAGCAATGACTGATGTTCCTAATAATAACTATTGCTTTGAAGGATGAAGACGTCGAAAGCAAAATGAACACGGCATTGATATTATTACTATCTTTTTGCGCTGATTCTTTCTTTTGACAAAGAAAATGAGTACCTTTCATCGTACGTCTCATTGTACGGTTCGTAGTATGTTAGGCTGAACGTTTCGTTGTATGTTTCATTGTAAGATTCATAGTACTGATCGATGGTTTCATTCCTACGTCGGAAAAGAAACGATCAATTACTAAATAATTATAGTGTTTTGTTTTTTCATTCTCCAAATATTTTTTTTAAGACTATTTAAATTTGACAGTTCGATTTTTAGTAATGAGGTGAATCATCCAGTGTTCAAACTTGGTCAGCGATAGAACTAATTGAGGCTTTTATAATATATAATAATAATTCAGTAGAATTTCATGCTTAAACTTCTCGAAAAACACTATTATGCGTGTATACTTATTGGTACTTCGTGAAATTTTCAGATATTTGCTTCATTATGAAATCTTCGTTATTCGAATGCTGGATGATTTATTAACTGATTTCTATAGGGATTACAAAGTTTTTTTCATTCCACGTTTTTAAAATGAAATGAAAAATGCTTCGTGAGATTAATTTCGAAATTGTGGAAACTTCTTATATTATGTCAAGTATTCTCTGGGCAATTGAAGAAGATTCAAGTTGCGGTGTGTAGTTGCGGGGGAGGAGGAACTAGAAATTTATCCCAATCTAGAACTGGGCTAATTCATAATCAATTCGATGGAAAGGTAACTCTCAGTAAAGTTCAAAATATTAGAATATTAAGAAAATTATTTTTCCGAGCAGAGGGTTTTCAAAGGCGAGGAAAAATGATCGGTCCTTATCAAAGAATCATCCATTTTCAGAGGTAAAAATTAATGGGTAAATGTTTCTCAATAGTCAATAAATCGAAATGGGGATTTTCATTTGGTCATCCCCGTAGGTAGAGAGTTCAAATTGACCCGAGTTTAGCCCAAGAAATGCGTTTTCAACTGAGACTTTTCTAACCTGAAACATAATGGAGTGAAATAAGTGGTCTTCTTTTTTGAATTCTATTCTATTATAAATTTCTTTGTTTATTCAGTCATTGGTTACCCAATATCTGCAATTGTTTTGAACAGTTAAAAGTTGAAAGTAGAAATTTTTTTACTTATTTCAACAATATTTTTGTTACAAATGAATAAACTTATGTACTTGTTTCAAGAAAACGGATTTAATTATGTTAAACAAACAATTTATTTATTTCAACTAAAATTTTTATCGAATTCAAAAAAATAACTCACTTATTTCCAATAAATAGTTTTATTATTTTACGAAAATCACATATTCGTGCATTTTGTGAAAGAAAGTGTGTTTTAACAATATTCGTGGGCTACGTGGGAAACGGTTGTGTGAACCTCATCCAGGAGACGTGAAATCTGGACGATTTGAACTCTCCAGAATCATTCTGATCCAATTTTTTATTACACTTTTCACTCCAGCATATACGACCTCTTTCACCATCGTCTCCCTGATAGTGAAACCATGAAATAGAAATTTCTTCCCAAAAAAAATATAAAAAATAAATATCTTACGTGATGTATGTACAGTCGAGCACTAAAGTTCGTAAACACAATACACAGAATGCAAGTTCAGGCTGTTCACGAACTTTAGTGCTCAACACAATATACAAAATGTAAGTTCAGGCTGTTCACGAACTTTAGTGCTCGACTGTACAGCCCCTAATAATTATTGTATGTTTTTCACTCAATCCTTTTCGAGTTTATTACCCTCTCAAAGCGATAATAAATTATTAGTATCAAATAAACATTTATTTAGATCAACGAACAATTTTATTCGATTCAAACAAAGATTTATTAATAGTAAAAAAATATTTATTTAGTATAAACAAAACTTGGAATAAAATTTTTTATTTAATTTGAAAAAAGATTTTATTGGTACTATTTTAAAAAACTTATTTATTTAATTCAAATAAATCTTTTTTCTGGGTGTACTCTTTCCCAATAATTTTGATGAGGTTTATCGCTGAAAAGTCCTTGAATCTCCTTGGATTTGCTCTTTGTTCACTTGCCTGAGAATCCCCGACTATTTTTTACTGACAACTGACAACTAGACAAGAACACAGTTTCGTTGACGAGTGTCATCTACTTCTATTTTTCTACCATCCATCCATCAGTGCCCCCTCTTCTTCAAAATTCGGCCAACAATCTTATTTCTTATATTTTTCATTTTCTCATAATTCCAGTAACTGGTGCAGCACACCTAGACTATTCTAATATCTAGATCATCAACAGAGATTTCTCGAACATGTAGGTTGATTTAAAAATACCTGTCACTGAAATCTTCCCTGTGTCGCACGATAAAAATAGGCCATTAAGATCATTTAGGCATGTTGCTCAACCCTAACTATTGAAATTTGCTATTTTTGTCAGCCTAAATCAACTATTCTAACTTGCATTTCAATTGGTAAATCTAAAAATATTCACACTTTTATAAAAAGCGCATTTAATGTACCTGTCAATAGTAAAATTCCTTCGCCGCCAGAATAACCGAAATTCATCATTACATAAAATATAACTCAAACTGAATTATTTCTAAAATGCGCTACTCAAAGTAATAGATTAGTGTTCATTAATAATTATTTTCAATTTTTGATTATTTAAATTCATTATGTGGATGGTATTATTCATTTTACTATTATCAATTAAGCTATTAATTAGGTGTTACTGTGATTAGAGGGGAAGTGAGGTTTGGAAAAAGTAAATATCAAGGGAGATAGATAAAGAGTGTATCTTTAATCAGACTCACTATAATTATATGAACGCACCTTGCATCGGTTGGTTTGTACGTGACATCGTACTTTTCCACTTGGTCGACCTGACTGGTGCTCCAGGATACTCTTACAGATGTCGGATTCAGAAACATCACGGTTATGTTCTCCGGTACGCCAGGAATACCTGTCATCGATCCTGCAAGACCAATATACATTTTTTTATAACCGACTTGACATGTTCAAAATAGTGGATAAATTTCTGTAGTCAGCAAGAAAAGTTTCTAGTTTTCCGTAAAAATCAAATTTAATTTCCGAACTCTGTACTATAGACTTCCGTTATAGTCGCACTCGTTACAGTCGCATTTCCCCTCATAATTACTTTTCGTCACTCGGCCGCTTCCCTCACTCTACTAGCCAAAGGCTTCAAGGCCTTCGAGGAGACAATGTCTCGCAATTGCAGGAAAGCCGAAAATAGAATACAGTCGAGACTTTATATAAGATACCTCGAGCTCCAAGCGCTCGAAACCTACCGCCACTCTCGGCACTTTTATCGCCTCTCGAATGTTTAGTTCCGTGGGCCTCGATCATTTGTCAACGGGAAAAAAGTGATTATAAGGATCAAACGGAGTTAAAGGTCAAACGAGAGGGACGAACGAAGCGATCATAAGAGTTAAATGACCTTAAGGGTCAAGAGTTGAAACTTGAGAGTCAAGGGCAGTTATCAGAAGGGTTAAACGATCCCAAGGGTCACCTCTTTTTTTCGACGCTATAATTACTAAAATGATGACGCAGAATGATCTCAATAGAATAAAACATAATTAAAATTCAATTAATTTACGGACTTTCAATCATTTATGTCGCGCCGTGCAATAAGTCGAGTTCATCGCACGCTGCGCTTCGCGCTGCCTGCTAAAAGCTCGACTTCGGCACGACTTGACATAAAATATTATAGAGCACTCGGTAATAAATTTCGTTTTCAACAAATGTGTGTACAGACCTCGCCTTCGGCTCGGCCTGTAAACTACACATTCGTTGAAAACGAAATTTGTGCCCTTGTACTCTAATGTACTATTGTACGTCAGTTGTTCAGAAGTGATTATTTCCAAGTCCCCAAACAATCCAATCCAACATCAGCTGCCAGTCTATCACGCAGGGTTATGTTTAGAGAGAAAAGGGAACGCAGGATAAACGAATTCAAAATATTGAACTCGTATAAATTGATTAGTTATCAATATCCATTCAATAAAAATGAAAATTCCATAGAATTTGGGTACAACGAATTAGGTATCTTATTTCAAACCGCTGATCCCTATTTTCCTCCTCTCTATAAGCGCGCGTAGTGGGAGTATACGGATTCCTGAAATTCCACTCTCCTACTATCGCTAAGGCATCTTATATAAAGCCTTAACTGTACTCTAAATATACATTTTTGTGATCACGAAATTCAGTTCCCTATAGACGGTTATGCAGAGAGATTCTGGTTTTGTTAGGATAAGATGAATTAGATAATCAACATTGCCGATAAAAAAGTTGAAAAAAAAGAGAATTATTGAGGTGAATCTTACAACTGAAACTAGAAAATCAAAACCCCTTTCATTAGAAGAAAAGTTTCTTGATAAAAACAATCGGATGATTGTAAAAAAAAAATTAATTTGTGACGACAGTCACAACAAACAAATTTATTTTAATTTATAAAACGGGACAATATGTTTTATGGAAAAATAAATTTACAGTAGAATATTTTAAGAAGAAACAAACGTAAGAAATTTTTCAATAAAAAGGAGAAATTTAAGTGAAAAAAAAATGATAAGAAGCAAGTTGAATTTGAACAGGCGCCCGCCTAAACTAAATGGCGCCAAGCATGCGCGGGAAACGCGGATCACTTCGTGCGCAAAAAGTCGGAGAGGGAGAGTGAGATGTAGAGTGGGGGAAGGCCAGTTGGCGGGGCCAAGTGCCTATGAAAAGAGCCACATCGTGAAGAGAAGTCAGTCATGCTTCGGACTCGTCCTCTACGGATGGTCTCTACCGCAGTAGTTCCTGAAACTATAGCCACAGTGGTTTCTACCTGTGGTATCTTTTCCTACTCCTGAAGATTCCTACCGCAGTGGTGTCCAACACCTTATCCACAGTGGTTTCTACCCGTAGATTCCGCCCTAAGGGGCCTATTCTCGAAATATTTCCGTGCGCGGAATCGACTCCGTTGACGGAACGCCTATATGATTCCTATACGCAATTCGTCTACGAAGCCACTTCCGTGCACGGAAATATTTCGAGAATAGGCCCCCAGTACCGAAGGTTTCTATCGCGGTAATATCCGAATCCTTGTCCACAGTGGTTTCTACCCGTGGATTCCTTCCTCAGTCCATAAGAAATCCCTGATCCGGTGATTACTACCCCGGAGAAAGGGTAGGATATCTATTCCAGTGGGGCATTACCTTGGAGCAGTGTTAGGGCGACTAAAACCAGTGGTTTCTACCCGGTGGCAGTCTCATAGGACACCTGTTACAGTGGGGCATTACCTCGGAGCAGTGTTAGGGCGACTAAAACCAGTGATTTCTACCCGATAACAGTCACATAGGATACCCTGTTCCGGTGGGGACTTACCTCGGAGCAGCATTAGGGAAACTAAAACCAGTGGTTCAAAAGGGTACCAGAAGACAGCGGATACAAGCAGAGGAAAAGTTAGGAAGATTTTCACAGAAAAGAATGGAGCTATTCTTGAGTAAAACCCAAAGGCTTTGATGTTTCAGTATAAAAACTGGATGTCTTAGATGAGAATAGGAGAGAGCTATTCTTGAGTATAACCCACAGGCTATGATATTTCAGTGTAAATTGGATTTCATAGATTTATTTAATAAAATAATTAAAGCAATAATTCTTTGACTCGTGTAGGCTCCCAATATTCATTAATATTCTGGAAGAGAAGAATTTAAAAAGAATACCGAAATTTTGCAGAAAAAACCCGCCGAAAATTTACTTTCACTTTGAAAACAGTAGCTCTTAAAAAACGCTCGAAGAAAATAAATTAGAAACTTGCGTAAAAGGAGCAGAGCGATAGAAAGGATTATTGAACATAAAGAAAAGTCGATGAACCTTTTTAAAAAGGGGAATTATTTTAAAAGAATTAGTCAGTATCCAATGATGACGAGTGTCATTCGAGTGAGAATGCAATTCTGAGGATACATAGATAAATAAGACCTCATATACGTTCATTTAAGCTATTATCTTCGACTCGTTCATAAGTATTATAAGTTGATTATGACAATCACACTCATTGCGCGAATTGTACCTATTATGGAATTGATTATCAATGCAATGGATAGTAATTATCGAATCAACACCAATAAGAATCTGGTAGAAGGCAGGAACGTTAAATCCAACTGGAGAAAGGATATATCGGAAGGATAAAGCCTGAACGGATGCAATGGATTTGAATATGTCGAGAATTCACATGAGCGGCGGCTTAAATAAAGTCTCACTGGCTTGATTCAGGTGGGGTCCGACTTGATTCTAGTATATTTTGTGACGTGATTCAGGTCGGGTTAGTCTTAAGGATATCCAAGTAGTTCAGGCAATTATTTCTGGAGGAAATCCCCTTCAGTGTTTATAGACTAGACCAAGAGTATTTTTTAGGCGCAGAATAAACTTTACTTTCCGAACATATTTTCGTGAAAACGATTTTTGAAAGAATGAAATTTAACACATTGCGTCCATAAGAGCTGTATACTCCCACCTGCAATCCAATAGATCAGTCTTAAAGCGTTTTCTCGTAAACATAACCGTATATGACTTTGTTCGTTATACTCTCTAGTTTTTTTTGCGACATTAAAAAAACATAAGTTTCCGGACAGATAATTGCAAACAATCAAATGAAAAGCTTCATGATTGGTACGATGGCCATATTGGGTGGTTTGAATCCACGCGTTCCTGACGTCTGGCAACGGTCCGCTCAAGTGACTGCTCGGACCGAATTTACGAGGTTATATGGAACACATGTGCAGTGTTGCCGTATGATCATTAGAGGTTAGACCAACGAGAGTCAAGTGTGAAATTGAATAAAATATTGTTCACAATATTCATTAAAGAGATTCCCGAAAAAATGTATTCAACAATAAAAAATCCGAAAAAGTATGGGGACGGCAAGATTTTCGACAAAACTGAAATCTTGCTTGAAAAAAATTTCCTAACTTGAACGAAGTACTTGGATATTCTTAATTCAAGGAAATTCTATAATAAGATTCTGGACGGGCCCTACTTCATTCGAGTATATTTGGTGACGTACTTTTTTCTGGCTTGTCAATGATATTATTAACTGATTCACTTTCGTGAATCTGGAGTTTCAATTAACTGGAAAAGTGGGAATTGAAAGATAAAATCGAAAGTAATAAAACGATTCTTACCAACGAACCCAGCTCCATGAAGGAATAGTATAGCGGCCCAAAGGACCATACCGCCAGGGTGGCGGACCAGATGTGGACCGCTCGTGTTCTCGCACAATTTTCCACCACCTCGTTCTCCTAAATATGACGATGATAATAACTGCACAGACAGCACTCTTCCAGAGCTCTTCTTCCCACATTCACGATAACCGACATTAGTACATCCAACTTTTAATGAATTATTTATGAGATATTTCTTCCCACCACCGCTTAAACTCGCGATATGTGAACAAACACTATCACGACACATTCCGTGATTTTTTTTAGCATAAAATCGCGCATCATTGGACCCATATGATGTTCTAATCGTTATTTGATATTTTGGTCATTTTCAACCAAATCTCTTCCTTGGTAATCCGTCCATATATTGATCTGCAACAGAAAAGGGAGGAAGCACATGATAAAAGTGAGAATGAATATTTTAGACACGTAAAAAGTAACATTGTAGCGACATGAAGGTCAAGTGTTGTGTACACATGACACCTTTGGTATCGGAAATGATGCCATCAAATAGATTGTATACAGATTGTATACAAAATTCCATAAAATGGAACGAAAGCGATTTTGTGAAAGAGGTAGGGTACACGGAGAGAAAAGTCATTTCAAAATTACCCATAAAATCGCGCAAATTTTATTATACGAAAGAATAATTGTATGGCGAAATTCCAATTAAATAAAAAATACTGTTTATAAACATTTTGGAAGATATTGTACGATTCGTTCAGTAGAAAAAAAAAAACACATTTTATACAGTCAACTCTCCGTAATTCACCAAGTCTCTAGTTCTCCAGGCGGCACCGAGCGAGGGGAATATCGCCACGAACCTCGTGTCTAACGCCTCGCACAGGAGACAGCCCCAGATGAGAGGTGCGTTTTGGGATTTGGAAATAACTATAGCATTGTGGCTCAAATAGTCGTGGTGTCTCTGTCGTAAGACACGCGTAGAGGAATGACAAACTCTAGCTTTCCGTTCTTGGAATCTATAGCCCCAAAAGTGGACAGCTACGGAGAGTCAACCTTATGTGAATGATTTCGCAATATTAAGCAACTATTAACGTTCACTGCAAATTTTTTTACTGGGATGTAGGGACAATTTTAGAGTTTTGCCACAAATTACTCTCGCGTTTAGTAAATTTTTCCGAACTACCCAGGCAGGACTCGTCGAGCTTCAACAACCGTCCCAAGCTTGGCTCAACCTCGACTTGCCAAGTGTTATGTCGAGTGTATGTTGGTTGACAAGCGTGGGCCATAATTTAGCCAATGGTTAAGCCAGTGTTCAGCCAATGGCGCATCTTGAGTCTTGGTTACCAGGGTCGGACCAAGCATGGACGAAGACTATCCGCCGACGCTCGGTCAACGAGGGGCTACCAACCTTAGCTCAAGCTTGGTGGCCAATGAATAGCCAGAATTGACAGACGTTCATTGGCGGCCATTCCTGGTCCAAGCTCGATTAGCCCGTCTTCGGCCAAGCATCGGGTAGCACAGCCTTCATCCAACATTGGTCCGACTGTGGTAGCCAAGGTTCAAGCTCTACCACTGGCTGACGACTGGCTCAGCCACTGGCTGAATTATGGTCCACGCTTGTCCACCAATGCCCGATGAGTCAGGGTTGAGCCAAGCTTGAACCAGCTGTTGAGAAGAGGGGGAGGGAGGCGTGTTTGTAAAAACTCTCAGGGTTAAAGGAAGGGGGGAAGGACAGAATAATAATAATAATAATAATCAGCTAGCTTGATGTCCGAAAATGAGGTTTTCATTTGCACCTGCTNAAGATATCGATATGACTCTTCGGCGCCAAGATGATGTATGACGCCCTAGTCCATCGAAGTCGTGTTATGGGGTTGCAAATTCCAGACATTCGATGTCGAGCTTGCAAGCGGTTCCCGAAAACTCTGATCCATCTTTTATCGGTTTGCCCGACATATGCCATCACGAGTTATATCCATCGACATAATGCGGCTTTGAGAGTGCTGTATTTCCATCTGCGGCACTCTTATGGGATAGACAGAACACCACTGCTGCCGTATGCTCCAGGAGATATTAAGTTCGTTGTCGTGAACAAGAGGTGTAAGATTTACTGGAACTTTTCGTTCGCGACTGTCAGGCCAATCGTTTCGACGAAACCTGATATCGTCCTCTTCGATTTTGATGACAAAATCATCTATGTCATTGAGTTCTCAGCTCCGGCTGAGAGCAACATCACAGTTAAAGAAGAGGAGACCCGGCTCAAATACCAATCATTCCTGTTTGAGCTACGTCAAATAAACAGAGGGTTTAAAGTAAAGTTGGTTGTCCTTATCATTGGCTCTCTTGAAGGAATGAAGGAGTCATTCATATCTGCGCTCAAAACTATCCCGGCCTGTAGGCGTCAAGCCTTCAATTTGGCTGGCCAGATGTAGACGGCAGTCATCCTCGGGTCCCTTCGTCTACTTAGGCAGCATGATTTTGGATTGCAATAGAGCTCACCCTCTGCTTAGAGGGAGCACTATTGCAGAGCGATAAGAAAGTGTTTGCATCGCTTAGCTTGCTGGACGATCTTCGAGATGAAGTCGAATCCCTCGAGGATCGTTCAGCGATCTCATTTACGAGTAAAAAAAAAATAATAATAATAATAATAATAAATAGGCGTAGGGAGTGTGGCGAACCCATCGCCCGGCATGTCCGCAATAGCCATGGTGGTGTCGGGCTAACCACCCGGCGGCACCTACACCCGGTTCCATCATCTAGCCGCGGCAGAGCCCCCCACAATCGGTCCCTCTCGGATGGGGACCGCGGATCAGTTGGGAGGGGTGAACGATCTGGATCCAATGGTAACAACCCGGCTATACAAAGGATTAGGTGGACGGAGGAACTCAAGGAGGACCTCACGCAATGATGGCAGGATAGCGAGCCGGCGCAAGTAGGCTACATGGCGACAATGCGGGACTTGTGGTGCCGTATGCACCCTGAGTTCTCGCATTTCTCAAGTCAACATCTGAGAGATCAAGTCAGCCGCTTGCGTCAGCAAGGATATGAGTTACTGCTCGTCCCGCGGGGGTTGATGGACCTTTCTCCTCTTCAGGAAGAAGATGGTACACAGCCGGAGCAGCCGACTCAACAGAGAGATGAGGAGCCTGAGAGGGCTCCGAGAGGGATAGGGACAAGGCGGGAAAGATTCACGGGGAAGTTTCGTCTCCAGCCACAATAGCTGGTTGTGGAGAATGAGGCTCTGACAGTGGGGCTCTCATCGGACATCAATTTGCTCGACCTGAACTGGGCTGTGTATGATGCGGCTCTCCGTCTGAAGCCTCGAACCCCAAGAGTGGGGGCATTTGAGGAGAAAATGAGGAGAAGCATCGTACAGATCCAGGGTAAGATCGAAGAGGCAAGGAAGCAAGTGTCGCGCATTCAGTATGTGATGGACTTTGTCAACAGTGATAGGGCTTTCACGGCCCGCATTCGCAGAATATCTGCGAATTTGCGATACCACCATCACACACTGAATAAACAAGTCCTCCTCATGATTAAGGAGAGATTTGTTGAGAAGGTGCGCGTTCTGAGGACTACGAAACGGTCTCTAGAGAAGCGGTTGCGACGAGTGGTCGACAATTCTGTCTTCCACTCCGATCCCAATCGCCGGTTCGATCCACCCGCGCCTGCACCGGATAAGATGCCTTCAGTCGAGCGGGTTGAAGAGTTCTGCGGGGGTCTCTACGGTCAGGCCCCCAATCTCAGGGTGGAGACTCTAGCCCTAAAGGAATTTCGCGCGTTTTGTCGCATACATCGTCGGCCAGGTTAGCCATGTATTTCACATGGATGATCTGAAGTTATTTGCCTCAGGAGAGCGGCAACTCAAGCTTCAGCTTGATACTGTCGCAATGTATTCAAGTGCGGTCGGCACGAGTTTCGGATTGGACAAGTGCGCCGTCTTCCATATGAAGAGGGGCAAGGTTGGTGGCGAGGTGGATGATCTTCAGCTTGTGGATGGAAGCGTCATACATCATCTTGGCGCCGAAGAGTCATATCGATATCTTGGCTTCAATCAGTGTTCCGTAGTGGAAACTGTGGAAGTCAAAGAGACTCTTCGCGAGGAATATCGGCGGCGGCTCAGGAAAGTTTGGAAGTCCGAACTTTCCGGCAAGAATAAAGTCACAGCAACGAACATGTTCACTGTCACGGTGCTTCTTTACTCCTTTGGTGTTCTCAAATGGGGTAGATTTGAGCTGGAGCAGCTGGACAGAGATACCCGCAAGCTGATGAACATTCATAGGAGTCTCCATCCACGTTCTTCGACTCTGTGGTTGTATTTTCCGCGAGACTGTGGAGGACGAGGGCTTCTCAGTTTGGAGGCTCTTCATGATCGTCTAGTCCTCGGTTTAGCTTGTGACGTCATGAATGGCTTGGATCCACACTTGGGGTTCGTGCATGATCATGAGCTCCATGGGGTTCAAGCCTTTCTATACAAGGCAGCGGATACGGCAGCGGCTTCCCTTGGTTTGAAATTTCGTCGCGGCCGGGATGGCCAGTTAGCTAGTGATTTATTAGCCATTATGGCCAAACCTCGGCGTAGAGCGACCATCAAGGCGACGGAGCAGTCCACCTTGCTCCGCCAGCACGTTGATAGGCCCGTGCATGGTATATTCTTCCCCCATGTGGAAGAGCAGGGTCTTTCCGTCCAGCTGACATTCGCCTTCTTGAAGTCAGCTGGCTTGATCTCCGAAACTGAGGGTTTCATCTGCGCATGTCAGGATGGCGTGATAAACACTTTTGTCTATCGAAGTCGTGTTATGGGGGTGTACGTTCCGGATACTCGATGTCGGATTTGCAAGCAATCCCCGGAAACTCTGATGCATCTTTTGTCGGCTTGTCCGACTTATGCAATCACGAGTTATATCCACCGTCATAATGCGGCTTTGAGAGTGCTGTATTATCATTTGCGGCACTCTTATGGGATAGACAGAACGCTGGGGCTGCCTTACGCTCCAGGAGATATTGAGTCCGTTGTCGTGAACGAGAAGTGTAAGATTTACTGGAACTTTTCGTTCGCAACTGTCAGGCCAATCGTTGCAACGAAACCTGACATCGTCCTCTTCGATTTTGATGACAAAATCATCTATATCATTGAGTTCTCAGCTCCGGCTGAGAGCAACATCACAGTGAAAGAAGAGGAGAAGCGGCTCAAATACCAGCCACTCCTGTTTGAGCTACGTCAAATAAATCGGAATTTAAAGGAAAGTCTGGTTGTCCTGATAATTGGCTCTCTTGGGGGAATGAAAGATCATTCATATTTGCGCTGAACACCATCCTCTGCATGTAGGCGTCAAGCCTTCCATTTTGGCTGGCCAAATGCAGAAGGCGGTCATTCTTGGATCCCTCCGTCTACTTAGACAGCACGA